GCACTCAAAATATCAAACCTTTATGGAAGTTTGGAAACAATTTGATAACAGGTTGAAAAACTGCAAGAACATATTGTGCTTGGTTAGAAGTGATCAGAATTTTATATAATCACTGAAGAAACAACATCGTTGTTTGCATAATCATGATGCTTTTGAAATAAACAAAATAAACTTACAGAAACAAACTGTAATGCTTCAAACATGCATATGCTTGTTGTCACAAAGGAAAAAATATATTAGTAATTTAGTGCCTAAGGCCCTATAAAAGAATTTTTGGTGTAGACCAATTGAAGCAATATCACAAATCTCTACTGGTTCCCGCTGGGTTAGATGATAGTAGGAATTAAGAGAACTGGGAATTTATTAATGTGGTCATACCAGACCACCCAATTAGCCAATAATGGCACAATGTCTCTAATGGAGCATCCCACACCAGGGATGCTTTCCTTGGTTCTCCTTTATTCAACATCTTGGTCGATGACTTAGATGAATTTATACAATGTGTGTGTGTGTGTGTGTGTGTGTGTGTGTATGTTTGTTGAATCCAAAGATGAAATAAAGCTAAATGTCAGATAACAAAGCCAAGATCCAAAAGAATCTTAACAGTAGGCTGTATCTAATGGAAAGAAAATAAGTATAATGTAAAGTTATACACTAGATTTGAAACTATAACTTCACAAATACAAGGTGGAGGGAATATGGATACTTCATCTGAAAAGAGATCTGAAATATGTAAGCTGGACTGTTAGCTCAATATGAGTCAAGTGTCATATTGAAACCAAAAAAGTTAATTTTATCCCACACAGCACGGAGAGGCCTAGTGTCTGCGATAAAGGAATTAGGAGTTCCTGCCCTGATTGGACCGTATCTGGAATATTGAGTTTAATTCAGTGCACCACATTTTAGCAGTGATACAAAATAGATGGAGAAAATTTAGAAGACAGCAACCAGAATGGCAAAAGGACCAGATAATATGTCATATGATGAACCAATAGAGGAAATAGGAATGTTAGCCTGAAGCAGAAAAACTTAAGAGAACTTAATAACAATCTTCAAGTATTTGAGGGACTGTCATGTAGAACAGAAATTAGAGTTCTTTGGCTTGGTCCTAAAGGACACAGTTAAGACAAGTGACTAGAATTTTCAGAGATGGATTTATCTTGATGTAAAGAAAAACTTCATAGTAATTAGAGCAGTCCCAAAGTGGATGCTACAAATCAAAACTTGATTTATTGTTTTGTTGATTTGTAGAGTTATAGGTAACATTAATAACACAAAGTAAACTTAAACTTATATTGTGCACACTTTTTTTTTTCCTGGAGAATTGGTTGTTAAACGTTTATCAGCATACCCTTGCTGTGTTTCCTTGCCCGAAAAATTCAGGTGGCATAAAATAAAACCAGCCTGGTCAGGTGAGCATTCATGGTCCTCCCTGCAGTCTATATTTCTAAACATTCTTCACACTACTCGTTTACATATACTTTGTGCTTCATCCAAACTGGATTCCCATCTGTTCCCCAAATATGCCCTGTTTCCTGCAAGTGTATTTTTATTCATGCTATTCCCTTTGCCTCTACCATTAAATTTCTGCTGATTAGAGTGCTACTTATACTTCAAGGCTCAATTCAAATATTACCTCCTTCATGAAGCCAGCCCTAATTCTCCAACAAGATAGAGCTTCTCAAGCTTGTGAATCCTTGGCTTATGATGAGGGCATTTATATCCTGCTTTGTACTGAAGAAGGTATTTAATAAATATTTGTTATATTGAATTGAATTACAATATTGTATCCTCTAAAGTAGGTGTTCTTAAACTTTTTTTTGTATCATGGACACCATTGATAGTGAATCCCTTCTCAGAATAATGTTTGTTTCTTATATGCATAATTGAAGGAAATTCTGGATTTCATTTAGAGGTTAGTAAAATAAAGATATAATTTTTCCCATCTGAGTTTATAGATTCCCTAAAATCTAACCATGGATCCCTGGGGTTCATTGACCCCAATATTAAGAACCCTGCTCCAAAGTTTTGTTTTATACTGCTTAAGTATAGACTTCATTCTAAATTTTCCATGAAAACCAATATACATTAGCCTACTACAGGAGGTCAGCGAACTTGATAGGGAAAACAATTACGTCTTTATTTCAAAAATACCAATTTCCTTTATGATACTATATATTTTATTATGCATTTAAAAACATTATTCTGAGAAGAGATCCATAAGTTTCACCATATCCAAAGGAATCCATCATGCAAAAAAGGTTGAGAATCCCTAGTCTAGTGGGAAGAACCTCATACTTTATTATACTGGTTTTATGCCAGATTTTAAGCTTCCAGAGGGAAAGACCATTGCCTAGCATGGTGTCATGTACAATCAGGCACTTAAATATTTTCTGATGATAATGACAGTTATTTTTCTGTCATTCTCACTGAAGCTTCAGCCTTATAATCCAAGAAAACAGGTTGAGTACTGCAATAGGTAAGATAAAAAAGAGAGTACTTTGAACTCCATGGAGAAAAAATTACTATAAATAGCAATTGTTAGTATTCTATTCCACTCATTATTTAATAATTTTAGGGTTTTTCTACTCAATATTACTTTTCTTCACACCAAACCTACCTGGTCCCCTAGCTTATAACCTCTCAGATTCATGTGTCATTATCTCCCTATCTTTCTTTGTACATTTTAAACTATTTTTTTTCCACATGCAAACTCTTCCAAGAAGCCGGTAGCATATGTATTTTCTAGTTGCTTTGTTTCTTCTAGCCTTACAGCATTAGAATACTTCTGCATTAATCACATCAGTCAGGGCCAACTCTCAACAAATAAAGAATTGAGAAATATTCGTTGGAAATAATAACAGTGTTTTGCCCCTCCTCAAACTTTTTTTTTAATATTTCGGCAATTGGGGTTTAAGTGACTCATCCAGGGTCACACACAGGTAGTGTTAAGTGTTTGATCTGAGGCCAGATTTGAAGTCAGGTCCTCCTGACTTCCGGGCCAGTACTCTATTCACTGAACCACTTAGCTGCCCCCCTCCTCAAACTTTTGAACAGCACTTTGGATCCCTCCATTGTCCTTATCACACCCTATCTTGTACCATTCTTATCTGTCAGGTTCCTATCCCACCCCTAAGCAGAACATAAGTTCCTTAATGAGAGACTTCTCATCTTTGTATCCACACTAGTAATCACATAGCAAATAATGAATGTTCATTGAATTGAACCACTAGTATGTATCCACTATTCTCCAAGGGAGAGAAATACCATATCTGATAGATACAAATATCTGCTCAGAGAAAGGTGTGCTCTGTCCATAGTGAAACAATATCTTAGGTGAATTATTCAAGACAATGGCAGAAGACCGGAAATCAAACCATACTACCTGATGCTTACTACCTGTGTAACTTAGGGTAAGTCACTTAACCTCTCTAACATTTAGTTTCTTTATCTGTGTAATGGGGGCCAACTGGCCCTGATCAGTGGTTTTCCATCCAGCCTAGTTGAAGTTATCACAGAAAATATGTGGCAAATAACAAAGACAACAAGGTGTTAAGCTTCTAAATGAATGATGCCATCTTAGTAAATGTCTTTGCTTTGAGTTAATTGTGTCTAGTGGTTGAGAGTTAAAGGTAAACTTACCAGTGGAGGCTTGTTAACTATAATTATAGGAATGCAGAAACACAGACTACCATGAACCCAAGTACCTATCCTCTAGAGATACCTAACCTTTGAATACAAGTTTAGAAGTAACCCTAGCAGGAATATTACATCTATAAAATATGTTGAACTAGATGTATTTTGAGGCCCCTTCCAAATATATACATATACATATGTATATGTATGTGTGTGTGTGTATATATATATATATATACATATGTATGTATATATGTATATAATTGTTTATCTGTCATCCTTTAAATCCAGTGCAGGACTTTCACTTAGATTCCGTATTTACCAAGCAACATTCTAGGTAATAATAGCAAAAGTAACCAGTTGTTATTTTGGTTTATAACTCATTTCTCTTTTGAGTTTGCTTAATGGAAAAACAGCTCCTCACAGCCTGAATAGGCTGATAAAATTCCTGAGCCTAGGGGCAGCTAGGTTGGGCAGTGGATAGAGTATAGGCCCTGAAGTCAGGAAGACCTGAGTTCAAGTCCAGCCTCAGACCAAACACTTGACACTTACTAACTGTGTGACCCTGGGCAAGTCACTTAACCCTAATTGCCAAAAAAAATTTTTTTTAAATTTCTGAGCTTATAGATCTGAGTACCAGAGGTGACCTGAGGTAATCACTTTGACAGTGTAACCAGTGTAAGAGGCTCAACATGAGTGGTCAGCCAGCCACCCTGTATCTTCTAAACCCCTCTCTTATCTTCAGCAAGGTCTGTAAAAGGCTACCAAGAAGTCCACAAGCTGGTCATTAGTAATATTTAAACTTACATTTCTGTCAATTTACTTGTTTGTGATAGTTCACTTTTTCGGAGCACATCTTTGGCATCTAATAAAAAGCAACGCTATCTTTTCTATTTGTTCCAATGTTATTGCTTTTACATAAGTAATTAATCAGGAGTGATTGAAGTTGTTGAATTTTTTGCCCTATGGTATGTGAACTTAAGAAATCTGAAAGCCATAGATCAAAAAGTTCCTAAAACTTATAACAACCTGTTGATCTCCGTCAGCAAGCCAATCTTCATTCCAGCTAAAGCTTTTTCTAGTAGCACACCTCTTTACCTTCAGGTCAGTCCACCTACGAGAAACTACAAAGATACTGTCAGGGAAAAGCCCGTATAATATTGAACTTACTTGTTATAACAAATTCAGCCAGGACTGAAAAGCACCTCTTATAATGTAAGAAGAGCCCAGTGATCTCAATATTTTCACAGACACAGAAACAGAGAAGGGGCTACATAATTCATATTTACATAACAGGTAAAATTCGTCAACACATGAATTGCAAGAACAAAAGATGTTACCAATGCATTCACTGGGAGGGGAAGTCAGGAAACACTTTTAATAGATAATTCCTTGGCCAGGAAACTTTCACAATTACTTTGAAAATATGTTGAATTACCACAGTGGACAATTTCTGCTTCATTGCAGACAACATAAAGGTGGGATAAATAAAACATTTGCTGCCATATAAGATTTCATCTTCTCATTGTATGATAAAACTGCTTTCCTAAATGAAGGGATCTACAGATGAAAGAAAGAGGATCCCTACATCCTAAACCTCAAAACAAAAAAACCAATCTTAACTGGGCTGCCATAATTCTAATAGTCCCTTGAACCTCAGTGTATTTTCATTTGTTTTCACTTTGCCTTATTAATGTGTGTATGAACTCTCCATCTAAAGCTTTTTAAAAAAATTTCTATCCTCATATAATGTTGAATAATTGACTTTAGGCATTTTCTATTTTTTCACTCCCTCATTCCCTTTAGCAATGAATAAAACTTTAAACCTGTCCTGAAATGGTCAGTTTATTTGTCTACTATGTAGGTGAATATTGAGTAAATATAAAAACAACAACTTTGGAACTGACACATCACTCCTTTTTCTTAGTGAACAGAGAATAAAATAGTGAAATGGAGGAGTTTTTTTATAGTTGTCTCCCAACCAAAAGGCAGAGAAATAAATCAAGAAAGAGATTCTAAAAAGAAAAACAACTTAGCGTTATATTGATGACAGATAACAGCAACTATAATAAAGGGATGAGATGCATCACTCAGTTCACTGACATAAACTTTGCAAGTGGTACTGTCCCAGTCAAACTGGGTCATTATGTTGTGAAAATAGATTTCCATATCCCCATGAAAGTGTCATTCATGGAACCTGGTGAACTCTTGCAAAAGTCATTTGTTTTTGTGGTGACAAGAACAGTTGCTCCTTCTTCTATGGCTGGGAGTGGGAAGGATATATCTGAGGCTATGACTCCTTGGCCTAGATTACAGTCTTTACGCTTGCTTTCTTCTACTATATATGTCATAGTTGTACTGCTTCTAGGGAGAATTCCAGCTTCATCATTTTCACTCCTATCAAGAACAACTTTAGCAATCTCCTGTAGCTCGGCTTTTGGCTCTGCAAAGATATAAACAAGTATAGCATTATCTATCTGTTACTCTAAAAGTTTTACCTTAAATCTAAGTATAGAAGGTCATAGGCTTTAACACCAAGGCTTTGTGTTATCACTGAGAGGCACATCTCTCCAGAAAGTGGTCTTTGCACAGTAGACCTTAAGCTTTTAACAAGGACAAAATCCTCTGTGACCATACATTACACAGTGTCATGAGTGCCCTATAGGTGACTTCAAAATTTGGACCTAGAGACAAGTCAATATTCCTTTGGTCTACACTGTTTAAGTTAATGGATTTTTTTTAAGGAGTCTGAATCGAGAATGTAATGAAAGTCTCCATTATGTTTATATTATACACGTGGGAAGAAAAGTCTTAATACTTTCCATAACATTTCCATGGAGTAATTCTATCTTTAAAATTAAAAAAAAAAGTCATAAAACACTGTACCCCACCTGTCTGAAAGACCTCTGGGCAATGAAAGTAAAAGAAGTGGAACAGATGTCTCACTTTCCTAGTTCTATTATAAATAAATATATGGATAGTTTTACAAATTAGGCACTAAATAGAAAAGTTGGGAAACTGACTGACATGTTTGGGGATAAGGTCATGGACAGAGGTGGTATGGAAATCTAAGCCTTAATTTTTCTTTCATGAAGAATTCTTATGTGAGACAATGAATACTCTGTTGCCAGTCCTTCACTAGAAAACCTTAGACCCCTAAGGAGTCTTGATGCTTAAAAGATTTGACTTGAGCATTCTTTCTCAGTGAAGACTTAAGTACTTTCATTCAAGTGAATCACTCAAATTTGTATTAAAGATATGTCCATGGATGCAACCAGATACAGTTTTCCTATAGTGAGAGGTAGGGCTGGCAATTTCCCTTAGTTAGCATTAATCAGTCTGCCAACTTTTGCCAAAGATACTGGTTTCCTGAAAAACACTTTTGTTCTTTGATAGTCATACCTTATGGAAAGATTTGGGGGGAAGGCATGGGTACTGTCAACATCATAATGAACATAGTAGAAATTAAAGTTCTGCAGAATTTGAACTAATTAACTCATTCACCAATGCACTCAAAAGATTTATGACTTAGATATTAAAGTTCCGCACACACAAATAAGAAAAAATTCAAAGTTACAACTGTCATCCCATGAAGATAGGTTTCAAAGATTTAAAATCAAATTCATCACACTTTATACCTGTATTTTCCAATTCATCCTTTGATCTCTCAGGGCTCATTTTCTTCAGGATAAGTATTAGCAAGAAAATTGTCAAAGATGAAATTATTCCCACACCTACGCAGATCCAAAGACTCACATCTGTGATTTTCAGGGAACTGGTAGTACCTTTATCAATAGACAATAGCAGATATAATGAAGACAAGACAAAATACAAACACCATTTAAATATAACATAATTTGTCAAATTTCTCTTCTTGATCAGTACTGACTTTCTATAACCTAAATAACCAACCTTCTATTTGAATAATTGATAAACTACATTGTGCTGATAAGATTGAATAAATGCATTCAGTTCTGTTTTGAATAATTTCTGTCGATGTTTTAATCATTGCAATCTGTTATCATATATTATTTAGAAAATGTCGCCATCTTCCTTATGTATTGGAACAAATACAGAATCTGCACAGCAAGCTAATAAATAAATGCAAGAGAAATATCCCGTCACTTACTTGCATTACAATAACTCTGACACACCAGAGGAGGTGTGTTGGAACATCGAAGGTAACAGGGTTTGCAAGCATACAGCAAATTGTCAAAATATTCATTTTGGAAGCACCTTTGAGCCATCTGTATCAGTATCCCAAAAAACTAAAGAACTATTAAAAAAAAACAGTAAGAATGGACAGGAAAAGTCTTGTCAAGTTGCCACTAGCAAATGTAACAACAGCAGCTAAATATATCAAATAGTGCATTATGTTCTGAGGTTTTTCATAGAGGGGATTTCCCTTTCGTACTAGGAGCTTGGTGGCTAAGGATTTGAATACTAACTAAATTCAAATTCCTAAGCAACCTAACCTGTGGTAGCTTAGAGACAAGACCAAAGTAGTGTAAATATGAAGAGTAAATCATTCATGAAACAGAAACTGCTTATTTATAGAAGCTATTTCCCAAACAGGTGAATTAAGTAGAGCTTGGAGGGTGCAGATAATCCTGAGGGATATAAGGGAGAAGAAGACCTTCAGTTTAAAGGTTTCATTCACTCATTCATTCAACAAGCATTTATTGATCACCTACTATGCTCCAAAAGACTGTGAGAAAGGGATATAAACGTATAGAATATATTTGGCATTTGGGAAAATACAAATATATACATGACAGGGTCCTGGCCCTCAGAGTGCTTGCAGTTTATTAGTTGACACAAGGCACATGCACAGATACTTCAATACATTGTAGTTAAGTACAATATGTGGTAAATGTGATATTATGGTTGAGGTAGAGGATGTGACATTGGAGTTGGGTGTTGATATTGGGTATATTTTCAAAATAACAACTAACCTTTATGGTTTATTTGGTCTCAGGACTCCTTTATATTCTTAAAAATTATTAAAGGATCAGCTTTTGCTTATGTGGGTTATTTTTATCAACATTTACCATATTAGATATTAAAATGGATAATTTTACATTTTGATTCATTCCTCTTAAATAACACATTAACATAAATGAGATATTTTTATGAAAATAACTATTTTCTAAATAAAAGAAAATGAGAATGATATTTTTAAAATATTTTTGTAAAGCTCTGTTATGTAGAAGACAGCTAGTTTCTTACATCTGTTTTTGTACTCAGTTGTACTCTGTTGTGTTAGATTGTTTTGGTTGTAGTGAAGTATATGAAGAAAATCCAGTCTCACAAATATGTAGTTGGAAAAGGGAGGAGTATTTTAGTAGGCAGATAATATCTTCGTATTATTATCTTTTCACAGACTACACTTTGAAAACCACTGCTGTATATTTAATAGTTCTCTGAACAGAAACAAGACACTTAAATTCTCTAATATTCTAATTCTCCATCTTTAAAAGGAGGAATAGTGATATTTCTACTAGCTACCTCACAGGGTCACTGTGAGAATCAAAGGAGACAATATTTGTAAATCACTTTGTAAGCCTTAAAATGCCATATAAACGTAAGCTGTTATTATTATTAAAGGCTTAAACTAGGGTGGTTGTTGTGAAAATAAAAGAGGCATTGAAAAATGTGTGAGGATAATAATTATAGCCTACATTTTTATACTGCTTAGCAGTTTACAAAGTTCTAAGCCTCATCTGTAAGGAAGGTAGTACAAAGGTAATTACCCCCATTTTACAGATGAGGAAACAGAAGCTGAAATAGGCTGAGTGATATATCCACCATCACACAGCTAAGCTCAGTGTCAGAGATGGAGCTAGACCCCACACACTTCTTTATTCCCTGTCAGCCTTCAGAGACTGATTGAATATGGATGTTGAGGGAGAGGGAGCAGTGAAAGGTGATTCTGAATGCCAGTGACAGTAGGCTTACGGAGCAAAAATGTCTCTCCCCTTCACAGACATTCATTTGTGTGACAGAAAATAATCAGAATCACTAGCAGGTTATGAAAGTCACACTTGTGGGGAAGTATGTAAGAGAATGAGTAACAGCTGTGACCCTGTAGAAAGAGCACGTCCTCTGCAACGGATGCCCCGCTCCATGAAGGCAGACAAGCTAGCCTATAAAAGCCAATAGCAGCAAACCAGTTGGTCTAATTCTGGAGTGAGTTTAAGTCCCTCCCCTAGGGCGTGTGGGGTCCTCAGAAAACAGAGAATATTGGTGTGATACTGTACTGGATCCTGTGTATCTGTGGCTTAGAAATAAAAATTTGGGATTAGGCCTGAATTTGGCAGATTGGTTAAGCGGGAAACCAAGGATAAACTTTGACAATTAAATAGATATTTGATGTTATATCTCAAAGTGAGTCTCTGAGACTCCTATCTTTGTTTCTAAGAAATTACATGAACTTAAAACATTTTAAATCAAAGAAGTCATTGAATTTAGGGGTGGCTGTATGAAAACATACTGAAACAAAGATAAAGCTTCAGTTGTTTAGTCACGTTCAACTCTTTGTGACCCTATTTGGGGTTTTCTTGGCAGAGGTACTAGAGTGGTTTGCCATTTCCTTTGCCACTTCATTTTACAGATGAGGAAACTGAGGCAAAGAAGATTAAATGACTTCCCAAGTTCACATAGCTAGTAAGTGGCTGAGGCCAGATTTGAACTCAGGAAGATGAGTCTTCCTGACTTCAGGCCCAGCACTCTATCCACTGTACCACCTAGCTGACTCCAATAGAGTCTTACCTTCAAATTATGTTTCTTTATCAACTCAATCATGTATATAACAGAATGCATACGACATTCTAGGACACTTCAATACAGTATAACTCTTATACACTTGCAAAAATAGTTCATCATGTCTTGTTCTGCCCAAACTATAAAATTTTCAGTGGAGAATGGCATTTTCAGAAATAAAGAGTTATGGGGCAGCTAGGTGGGACAGTGGATAGAGCACCAACCCTGGAGTCAGGAGGACCTGAGTTCAAATGTGACCCCAGACAGATAACACTTACTAGCTGTGTGACTCTGGGCAAGTCACTTAACCCCACTGCCTAGCCAAAAAAAGAAATAAAGAATTATTATGACCCTCAGTTATCATGAACATCTTTTTCGAATCTCACAAGGTTTCCATATACTACCTCTGTCAATGTGTTTTTAACATAGATCCAAAAAAAAATTTTTTTTAATTTAAAAAACATAGATCCAAAAAAAATTTAAGTGCACCATTGTCCACTATAAAATAGCATGATCTTTTTTGATGTTGATTTTGTTATTTACAAAGTAAAATGCTATTACTATTCCAGCTGAGAATATAACATATACATTTTTAAATATAAAAATGCATCTTTTTGATATCCTGTTTTTACATGACAATTATTTTTGAAAACATCTTCCTCTTCTAAATTTAACTTATAAAAAATAAAGCTACTCAATTCTTCTTTTACTTCTATTTTATGTATTAAAGAAAATAATCTTCAGTTTGGAAAGATTAGAAGAAAAGTAATTAAGAAAAGGGGAATTGAAACTCCTCCAAAAGTAAGGTGTATTTACATATCTTCCTTAAGTTCAAGTCACCAGACTCAGATGAACTACATCTTGGAGTATTGAAAAAATGGCAAATGTGATTGCCAAGCCCCTTGTTGATGATATGTGAATAATAATCACAAAGAACAAATGGGAGAGGTGCCATGGGACTAACAGCAGGCAAATGCCTCAATTTTTATGGGGGAAAATGAATGGGAAGAATCTATAAAAAAAATTCTAGAAAAGACAGATAAAGTGAAAGTTACAGAAAAGCAGTTCTTAACTTGATATAAGAAAAACTATTTAAGCATGTAAGAGTAGAAAGACTTTCCTCAGGATGTAGTAGGTTCCACATCATTAGAGGTCTTGAAGAGGCCATATGATTGTTTCTTGGTGGTGGTGTGAACGTGATTCCTGATGATGTATATATAGATTGGGCTACAGCACCTCCTTCACTTTGAAGTTCCATTATCCTGAGTGACCAGCAAATAATGGTACCTTTAGCCAGTTATATGAATTTAGGAATAAGAGCAGGTCTGGTGGAAGAATGATAAGAAAAAATAGTAACTTACACTGATATAGCAATTTACAATTTAAATGTTCTCTGTATACATGCTCATTTTAACAGTGATGAGTTTATATACATGAGTTAGAGTTTCTAGTTCAGGCCCTCATCACCTCTTACAAAGACTAATGTGTCCTGATTTGTCTCCCTACTTCCAGTAGAAAGTAATTCTTCATTAATCCATCCTTCACACAATTGTAAATTGGTAAACCTAAAATAAAGGGCTGAACAGGTCACCCCACTACTCAAATGTCATCAGTGATTCCCTGTTAACTCTAGGATAAAATGCAAACTCCTTAACTTGATTTTTTTAATTAGAATTTTTTTTCCAACAAAGATCTTCCTTTTCTCCCTCCCATCTCTTTGTACCCCCTTATTGAAAATGCAGGGGGGAAAAAGCTCAGGTTACATACATGTAAAGTATGTTAAACAAAACAAATACCTGCATTAGCCATGTCCATAAGAAATATGCTTCCATCAGCACTCTGAGTCCATCACCCCTTTATCAAGTGAGAGTCCTCTGAAATTGTGGTTGTTTGTTGAGTTGATCAGAGTTGCTAAGGCTCTCAGAGTTGATAGTCTTTACAATATTGTTATTATGTAAATTGTTCTCCTGGTTTTGATAACTTTACTCTTCATCAGTTCATACAAGTCTTCCCAGATTTCTATGAAACCATCCCATTAATTTCTTACAGCACAATAGTAGTCCATCACATTCACATACCATAACTTATTCAGTCATTTCCCAATTGATGAGCACCTCTTCAGTTTCCAATTTTGCCATCACACACACATACACATGCCCGCAAAAAAAAAAATGCTATACATATGTGTCCCTTTTCCCTTTCTTTAAGTTTTTAGGGTATTAGTGATATTTCTGGAACAACAGTTATACAAAGTTTAATATCTTTTGGGGCATAATTCCAAATTTCTTTCCAGACTGGCTAAACCAGTTCACAGCTCTCCAATAGTGTATTAATGCGCCTGTTTTCCCATAGCCCCTCCAGCATTTGTAATTTTTCTTTTTTCTTAAATTTGATAATTTGATGGATGTGAAAAAGAACCTCAGAGTTGTTTTAATTTTCATTTCTCAATTATTAATGATTTAGAACATTTTATACAGTTATCAAGTTTGGATTTCTTCCTCTGAAATTGCCTGTTTGTATTCTTTTACCATTTATTTACTGGCTGTCATTCTTATAAATTTGAATTCGTTTCGTATATCTTAGGAATGAGACCTTTATCAGGGAAACTTGTT